GCGGGTAAAGCTTCATCTGTGTTTACAGCTGCTCCCCATAACTCGCATGGCCACCTGAGCTCTGTGTCCCGTCTCGTCACTGGCAGCATTAGATTCTCATAGGAGGGGAACCATACTGTAAATCTGTAAACTGGGCATGTGAGGGGTATAGGTTGCATGCTCCTTACGAGAATCTAATGCCTCCCACCCTGTCCATGGAAAAACTGTCTTCCATGAAACTGGTCCCTGGTTCCAGAAAGGTTGGGGACCACTATAGTAGATAGGAAAGTGCAGTTGTCTGGGATGGGGACTTCAGAATTAGTCCTGGGATTGCACAGGGCTGTCTTTCTCCACCTCCGTTCTCTCATCCTTAGGATAAAGACCCTGTCCCTCACCAGTGTCATAACAAGATTATATAAGACTTTGAGTTCCCGCTCGGTGCCTGTGGCTCAAGTGGCTAAGGCGCCAGCCACATACACCTAAGGTGGCAGGTTCGAATCCAGCCCGGGCTGCCAAACAACGACGGCTGCAACCAAAAAAAATAGCCAGGCATTGTGGCGGGTGCCTGTGGTCCCAGCTACTTGGGAGGCTGAGGCAGGAGACTTGCTTGAGCCCAGGAGTTGGAGGTTGCTGTGAGCTGTGGTGCCACGGCACTCTGCCCAGGGGGATAGCTTGAGGCTCTATCTCAAAAAAAAAAAAAAACAGACTTTGAGTTCCAAAGGTCTTTGTAAGAAGAAATACATATGTGAGGGCTCATCCCCCCCCCACCCCGCTTTAGATGGGCTCCCCCATTCCCACACACTTAGGAGTCTCTGTTGCCTCAAAGGCAAGTAGGCATTTTTCTCACAGCCCACTCCTTCCATGAGGCTAGAGCCCCATTATTTCTTCTCAGTTCTGTAAGGATTTGAATTAGTAATGATAGCAAGCCTCTACTAAGCACTTACCAGGTGCTATTCTAAGCACCTGTTAAGAGTGATTCTAAGCACTCCACATACTTGTAGTTCAATCTTTGGAATGGAATTATTACTTTTTTAGGAAATGGGTACTTTTCCATAAATGAGCATGGAGCCTGCAAACAAAAACTGTGCTACTTTTTCATGTCCAATCTACATAGTTTTTTATTTCTTTTTCTTGCCTTATTGTACGGGCTTGGGCTTTTAAAATAATGTTGAATGAAATGGTGAAAGCATTCAGACTTGCCTTCTTACCAGTCCAAGTGGGAAAACATCTAGTCTCCACTGTCAAGTATTATGTTCGCTGCATTCTTTTGTCTTTTTGAAGTGTATAGAAGCTAGTGGAGGTCAGTTTTTCTTGTCTGGTATTGGTGGGTTTGTGCTTTTTAAAAATCAGTCTGGCCATTTTAAAATTTCATTCATCTTTTTAAAGAAAGAACTCTTAGTTATATTGAATTTCTCTTTGCTTTTCTGTTTTCTGTTTCATTGATTTGAGACTTTTCTTCTTTTCTGACATAAACATTTAATGCTGTAAATTTATGTCTAAGGATTGCTTTAGCTACTACACACCCCTGCGTTTGGTATGTTGTATTCATTTTCTTTCAGTTCCAAATATTTTCTAATTTGCCTTGTCCTTTTTTATTTGATTCATGGGTTACTTAAGAAGTACATTATTTAATCGTGAGGATGTTCCAGACATCTTTTCAGTTTTTATTTCTAGTTAAATTCCATTATGATCAAAGTAAAGACTTCAAGTGATTTAATTTCATTACAGTGTAATGAAACTTTTTAATTTATTTATTTACTTTTTGCTCACTGGTTATAGCAGCAGAGACTTGTTTCGTAGTCCAGAATATGGTGGGTATTAGTCAGTGATTTATTTGTACCTGAAGACAATGTATATTGTGTTGCTGGGTACAGTGTTCTAAAACTGTCAGTTCGGTCAAAAAGGTTGATGAGATTGTTCAAATCTTTTACACCCTTACTGATTTTTGATGACTTTTTCTATTAATTACTGAAATGGGACTGCTTAAATTTCCAGCTAGAGTTTTGGTTTTGTCTGTTTATCCTTACATTTACATCAGCTTTTGTTTCACATATTTTGAAGCTCCATGAGCGGGTATATATATATGTATATATTTAGGGTTGTTACTTCCTTTTTGATGAATTGATCTCTTTGTCAAGGGGATATAAAATATCCCTTTTTATTCCTGGTAATATTCCTTGTTCTAAAATCTACTTGGCCTGACATACTCACTCCAGTTTTGTTTTGATCAGTGTTTTCTTGGTATATCTTTTTCCATTCTTTTCACTTTTAACATACCTGTGTCTTCATATTTAAAATATGTTTCTTATAGACAGGATATATTAATAGTTATGTCATGCTTTTTTATTATTTATTTAATTTTTTGGAGACAGAGTCGTACTTTGTTGCCCTCTGTAGAGTGCTATGCCATCAAAGCTCACAGCAACCTCAAACTCTTAGGCTCAAGTGATTCTCTTGCCTCAGCCTCCCAAGTAGCTGGGACTGTAGGTGCCCACCACAACATCTGACTATTTTTAGAGATGAGGTCTCACTCTGGCTCAGGCTGGTCTCGAACCCGTCAGCTCAGACAGTCTACCCGCCTCGGCCTCCCAAGTGCTAGGATTACAGGCAGGAGCCACCATACCCAGCCTGTCATGCTTTCTTAAAGATTCAATAATACAAACTCTATTTTTTTACTGAAGTTTTTAGATCATTTATATTTAATGTAATTACTGATGTAATTGTGTTTAAGTCTGTCATTTTATTATTTTAATTGTCACATATGTACTTTGTTCCTGTTTTCCTCTCTGCTTTATTTCATAGTGAGTGTTTTCATGATTCCCTTTTATCTCCATTGCTAGCTTACTAGCCATATCTCTTTGTTTTGTTTTTTAGTGGTTCTCTGGTTTGCTCTGTGTGTGTATGTATCAAAGTCTACCTTCTAATAATGTTATACCACTTCATCTATATTGTAAAAAAACTAGCTATGCATGTTTATTCTATTTTGTACCTCCTATCCATTATGATACTGTTATTATACATTTGATAATCCCACAACACAGTGAAAATTTTTTGGTTTACACAGTTAACATTCTTAGAGATATTTTTTAAATGAGTCAAATGTATTCTACTTTACCCACATATCTCCTCTGTCCAGTGCTTTTTATTCCTTGGTATAGATCCAAATTTTTGTCTAGTCTCATTTTCCTTTTTCCTAGAGAACTTCCTTTAAAATTTCTTATAGACATATCTTATAGACATATTTCTTATAGACATAACTTAGCTTTGATCTGAAAAAGTATTTATTCTGCTTTTAATTTTGAATGATATTTTTCTGGATATAGATTTTAGGTTGATAAGCTTTTTTGTTTATTTCTTTTTGGTGCTTAAGGGTGTCATTGTCTTGTGCTTTACACAATTGATGGCAAGAAGTCTGCCACCTTGCCTTTGTTCCTCTGTATGTAATGTTCTTTTTCCACTGGCTGCTTTTGAGAGTTTATTGCTGGTTTTTAGCAATTTGGATATAATGTGACTTGGTGTGGTTTTCTTTATGTTTATTGGGAATTCAATGCATTTCTTGGATCAGTGAGTTATAGGTTTCATCAAATTTTGAACATTTCTGACCATTTCTTTAAATATTTTTTTCTGTGTTCCTCCTTCATATGTGAGATGGTTTGTTATTATCCTACAGGTCATGGATGCTATGTTCTTTTTTTTTCCAATCACTTTTCTCTCTTTGCTGTAGTTTGGGTATTTTCTTTTGCTCTTTTTTCAAATTCATTAATCCTCTCTTTTGATACATCTGATCTGCTATTAATCTCATTTCTTATAGTTTTCAATTCAGTTATTGTATTTTTTTACTTCTAAAAGTTTTATGTGGGTCATTTTTATGTGGGTTTCCCATTTCGGTCCTCATCATGTTGTTTTCCTCTACATTCTTGAGGGTATTAGTATATTTGTTATGTAGTTTGAACATTCTTATATGCTAATTCCATCATCTCTAAGTAATTGTCTATTTATTGGATTTTTTTCCCTGCCTCATTGGCTATTTTTTCTTTTTCTGCCTGCCTTTTTGTTTTTCTTTTTTTTACTAGATGCCAAACATTTTTACTTTGTTGGGTGCTGATTTTTTTTTCTCTTTGTATTCTTTTTGTTGGACTTTGTTCTGGCATACAGTTAATTGGGATCAGTTTTATTCCCTGAAACCTTGTTTTTAACATCTTTTATGGTGACTGTGGAGCTGCCAGTAGTTTAGGGCTAATTTAGCCTCACTACTGAAGTGGTCTATTTCTGAGGACCCTGCCTGTGGAAATGTTCTGGGAAATGCATCATTAGGCAATTTTGTCATTGTGTGAACATCACAGAGTTTACTTACACAAACCTAGATGATATAGTCTACTCCACAGCTAGGCTATATAAAATAACCTCTAGTTCCTGGGCCACAAACTTACATAGCATGTTACTGTACTTACTACCATAGGCAGGTATTTGTGTATCTAAACATAGAAGAGGTATAATAAAAATATAGTATAAAAAATTAAAATGGCACAATTATACATATGGCACTTACCATGAAAGGAATAAGACTTCATCTGTAAAAATGATAATAATAATAATACATTAACCTTAGCTTATTGTAGCTCTTTTGCTTTATTAGCTTTTTATTTTTTTAAACTTTTTGATTCATTTGTAATAACTGTGTGCTTAAAACACACATTGTGCCATTGTACAAAAATATTTTCTTGTTCTATCTCCTTATTCTATAAGATTTTTTTCTGTTTTTAAATTTAGCTTTTTACTTTTTAAAAAATGCACTTTTATTTAAGACATTTCATTTTTCACTCATTGCTTTTAAAGTGCGATGTCATTGCCTTCCCCTGTACACATGTTCCATATTCAAGTATTGAGAATGCCCAGTGATTCACTATAGCAGCCCCATTTTAAATCTGCCACATAATTTGCTACAAATTTGGATCCTTCAGTGTTTCACTGTGTGGAACAATGCTACATCTACACTTGGGCTGGCTTAATCAACCTCTTGAAAAAATATGGAACGTGGCACGAATTTTCGTGTCATCCTTGCACAGGGGCCACGCTAATCTTCTCTGTATTGTTCCAGTTTTAGTATATATGTTGCCAAAGTGAGCACTTTTTTAAAAACTCTTTAAACATTTTTAACCTCTATGGAGAACAGTATGAAGATTCCTCAAACTAAAAGTAGACCTACCAATTGATCCTACAATCCCACTACTGGGTATTACCCAGAGGAAAAGAAGTTATTTTATCAAAAAGACACCTGTACTTGAATGTTTATTGTAGCACAAGTTACAGTTGCAAATATGTGGAGTGAACCTAAGTGCCCATCAATTCATGAGTGGATTAACAAAATGTGGTATATGTATACTAAGGAATACTACTCTGCCATGAATAAGGATAAATTAAGGCCTTTTGCCACAATTTGGGTAGAATTGGAGACCATTATCCTAAGTGAAATATCTAAAGAATGGAAAAATAGGCCAGGCACGGTGACTCATGCCTATTATCCTGGCACTCTCAGAGGCCAAGGTGGGTAGATCACTTGAGCTCAGGAGTTTAAGACCAGCCTGAGCAAGAGTGAGACCACCTCTTTACTAAAAATAGAAAACTAGCCAGACATAGTGGCACGTGTGCCTGTAGTCACAGCTACTCAAGAGGCTGAGGCAAGAGGATGGCTTAAGCCTAAGAGTTTGAGGTTGCTGTGAGCTATAATGATGCCATGCCACTTTACCCAGGGAGACAGAGTAAGACTCTGTCTCAAAAAAAATAAATAAATAATTAAAAAAAAATTTTTTTTTTTAGAGACAGAGTCTCACTTTATTGCCCTCGGTAGAGTGCCGTGACAGTGTCACACAGCTCACAGCAACCTCCAACACCTGGGCTTAGGTGATGCTCTTGTCTCAGCCTCCTGAGAGCTGGGACTATAGGTGCCTGCCACAGTACTCAGCTAATAAAAAAAATTTTTTAATGAAAGGAAAAATAAATACAACATGTACTCACCATTAAATTGAAGCTAATTGATGAGCACATAAAGAAGTAAAACTCAGTGGAAATCAGGCAGGAAGGAGTGAGGAGGAGAGGATGGGTGAAAACTCTCCTACCAGGTACAGTGAACACTGTCTGGGTGATGGGCAGTGGGTGATGGGCACACTTATAACCTCCTTTTCATACACCCTGCAGACAATCCGTGTGTACGCTGCAGCTGCTGCTTTCTTTTTTATTAGACAGAGTCTCACTATGTCACCCTGGGTAGAGTGCCGTGGCATCATTATAGCTCACAGCAACCTCCAACTCTTGGGCTCATGTGATCCTCATGCTTCAGCCTCCTGAGTAGCTGGGACTACAGGCACCTGCCACAACGCCCAGCTATATTTTTGTTGCAGTTGTCATTATTGTTTAGTTGGCCTGGGCTGGGTTCGAACCCACCAGCCGGTGCCCTACCCACTGAGCTACGGTGCCACCGTCTGCTGCTTTCTTCTATCAAATCTGCTGTCTGGCTCCCACATCGAAACATCATTTTAATCATGTACTTTCAAACCAAGAAGACAATTTGCATTACAAAAGTCAAATCCCTTTCCCTGGTTGTGGCTATGCAACAGACTTGGCCTTTTTTTTTTTTTTTAACAGGAGGGGCTCCCATTTGTCCAGGGAGGAAGTTCTGGACTAGTGAGAGTCCCTCTTGATCTGAGTCAGGACCACATAGGAAAGAAAGAGTCATCTGGCATAGAGCACTCCCCCCACCTCCCGGCTCCCTGCCCCACATTCTTTGGGATGGGGAGGAATGGAAGCCAGACTTCTCTTAGTTGTCCTCTCATCCAGAACCATAGGTGTATTTCAGATGGTGCCGGAGCAATTGATTGAAGAGTATGTGCCTGCTTCCACATCTGCATAATTTTGCATATTTATTTAATAGACAAATAACCTCATTTAGATTCTCTGATTTCCTCTCTTTTCCTCCTGCATTTGATGTGTCGTATAAGTCTGGCTCACCCTGGGAAAGTGACCAGTTCTTCTGATCATTGTTTTTCCAAGGGAAACGGGCATTTCTCAGAAAACCTCTAGAAGCTGTCCTCGTCCAACCTCCACGAATTCACTGCTTTGCTCTACAACCCAGGCACTGTGGCAGTGTCCTGGTCAGCTGAGGTCTGTGCCTGGCTGGGGAGTGTGAAGGATGTGGAGGGGTTGCGAGTCAGAAAGATCCCAGGTGGACAGGTTGTCAGAGGCCTTGCAGATGAGCATCTCCCTGGGGACTAAGCTGCTGTCACTGTGGGTAATTGGATTTCTGCTCCCCAGCAGGACAAGCACCGGTAACCTTTAGGATTAATTACTCCGCTCGACCTCAGCCGCCTGCTTTGGCTGGCTGTCCTCCTCACTCTTGATCAGAATGCCCCAGGGGCTCAACGTAGGGCACTGGGTTGTAAGGACAGCAGGGTGAGCTGGAGACTTCTTGATCGGCGACTTGAGAGATTGCCAGTGTACACTAGCAGAGGTGCTTGACGATGGTGCTGTGCTTTACCTTAAGGCAAAGCCCCTTCTCTGCCTCTGGGTGGGGTTAAAAGAACTCTTCAAAGGGTGACAGTGTGAAGTCAGCATCCATTCTAAAGGGGAAGGCCAAGTTGTCTACTCCTCTCTACCATGTCCTCAGAGTGGCAATGGCTCCCTCCCTGAAACTTCATTCCTGCTGTGTTTGTTCCCATGACGTAAGATCCCAGGTCGGAAGGCAGGGAGACGCTGCATGCCATCCCCATGATGGCAGTTCAGTATCTGTGACCACTTGGCATAATAATGGCTAATAGCTACTGAGTCCTTACCATGCACTCAGCATGCCCTAGCTCATTTGGTGCTCAGGACAGCCGGTGAGGGGTGTGATGTCATGCTCCTCTTCTCAGAATGGTGAAAATTGGGCCTGAGACATGTTAGTGGCAGAGACACCATGTAGATTGTTTAAAGTACAGCGTTTCTGCTACAGAGCCTGGTTTCCCTGATTCTTGCACTTTAGAGCTCTTGACAACAGGATTCTTACATTCCATTTCTAGGTTGGGGGCCTGAGGGGCAGTGACCAGGGTGATATGAGTTCTGTAATCTTTGGCTTATCTTAGCACAGAAAAGAGTTAGCCCTCATGCACCTTTTATACAAATCACATGAGTGTTACAACCTTGAGAGCCTTTTGCTTTCCACGTTACCAGGCTGTTTGTATCTCCCTTCTCACACAGATTAATAATCAGTCAGCAAATACACATTAACATGGACCCCGACTCTTGGTTCCTTGGCCTGATTGGGAGAGGAACCATCACTGTGGCCCATTAATGGAGACCTCGTACACTAATCCTTATTCCGCGCAGCTCCGGCAGTTGGCAGTGAGCAGTGTGTCATGATGATACTTTCCTGGAAAGCCTGATTGGCCACTCACTTGTTTCCGCTGCCACCTCCCCACCCCCCAGATGGCAATGGGTGTTGCCATGACAACATAATGGGAAGCAATCACACTTATTGTGGGGCAGGAATGTTGACTTGCATGAAAGAGCATGTGTATGGGGCTGAGGCGGAGATGGGAGAAACACAGACCTTCTTTTGCCCAGAAAGAAAGGAAGTTAATTCAGAATTGAGGAGCCTGCCTTCTGAATTTTTAATTCCCACCTGATGCTAATGGAAACAATTTATTACTAGCCAGCTCACATTATTCTTAGAGTGTCACAATTTACAAAAAACACTCACAGGACCAGGACTTTGCACTCATTGTGAACCAAAACTTAGTCTCAAAGATGAGAAACTCCTGTTCCTTTAGTTTTTCTTTGTATTCCTTTCTTCTCTCCCCTGATCCTTCTCCTTTTCTTCACATACATCTCCCCAACAGCAGGACATCCAGAAAGGTGGGGGAGGTGAGGGGTGGCATTTCCATGAAAACTTGGGAGAAGAGCTCTGATTTCTTCGTGTGTGAGACCAAAAAAGTATTAATTAAGTCAAGGAAAGACTCAAGGGAAGAGAATTCATTGGCAAATTGGCAGGTCACTGGGGCAGTAGGTGGCTGGGTGGGGGGCTTGGGCAGGAGCCAGGAGGAAGCGATTCTGGGAGGCAGAGGGAGCAGTGGGCTCCAGCCTTCAGTGATGGCGTCACTTAGAATTTCAGTCCTGCCACAACTTTTAGCCTGGTTGAGGTTGAGAGTGCTAGAGTAAGGCCCTCAAGTCCCATTCCTGGCCCTGCCACTCACTAGCTTACAAGTGCAAACTCGAGCAAGTTACCTAATGCTTATTAGCTTCGGTGCAGACAGGAGAGGACTCAGTGAGCTAACTCAGAACACTCCCCAAGTGTTGGCTGTTGTTTTCACTGTGCAGCTGGAGCAAGTCATTTTACCTCTCTGAGCTGTGATCTACTCACTAAAAAAACAGTGGCCACACGACCAAACATTTGTGAGGATTAAATAAGGGAGAATGTGGGGAAAGTGCCTAGCTGCTTTCCAGACATACAATAGGTATTACTCTGTCTTAAATTTAAAAAAAAATAGGTGTTAAGTAAATGTCAGTGAAACCTTGATCTATTCCAAGGAAGAAGGAAGGAGAGTGGATATCAGACAAAACTCTCGGACATCCATTCTTTTGTCCCATACTGCACAAATACAAACCTTTAACATGCCTCTGACGGGCAAGTCTTAGTTTTCTCATCCTCAGTCATCAAGCATTTTCAGAGTACTGAGCTGGACTGGGTGTTGCAGCAGAACAGAGTGTCTGCCCTACCTCAACGTACTTCCAGGAAGCCAAAGAAGACAGAACAGTGTGGTAAAGCAATTGCATCTGCATTGTGAATAGTCCCGGGTCCACAGGAAGTACTCTGTAGCTCTGTACTCTCTGTAGTTAAATGAATGAATGAATGAATGAATGAATTTGCAGTGTATTCTGGAGATATTACACAGAGGCTGAGTCTAGTGAATATTAGCATGGTTAAAAAGGTGGGACAAGGATCTGGGATTTGAACAGGCCTTTAAGGGATACAGAATACCTACCTACAGGCCACTTGTCTTCATCAGATGTCTCTGCTCAGCACAGAGTGTCCAGGGGGCAGCTCTCCCTCCCCATCCATGGGCCTGTCCTAAGCCCCATTAGGTGCCACTTACTTGC